CTGCTTTCCATTGAATTTCATTGTTCTTTTAACTATGTCTAAGTAGCATGAAAAAGCAATAAGTTGCTCATGAAGAGGATTTTTAATTTAATTTTTTTCATTTGTTTTTTTTATCTAGTCTAATAAGTTTCTACTTTTACATTTTAGATTTTTAATATATAACAATAAGTAAAAATTTTATATACTTAAAAACAATGTAGAACTTATTTTAACATTGAGGACTTTTGCACTCCCACATGTGGTTTAGAAAGCCTATTTTTCTTTTTCTTATTGTGTTGATTGTCCAAAAATAATCCATGGGGTTTTCAAATATGCATTTTAGAACAAAAAAATATATGTATTGGGCACTAGAGTAGTATGTCCCAAAACTATTATAACTTACCTGGCTTTCTAACTAATTTATAAATAGGATAAAAAAATTCCATTACTGCATGGAACAATGTATTTTATCTAAACTTATCAAGCTGTTCCTGCAATCTATTACCTTTGACCACGTAAAAAAAAACAGTAATCATCTGATGAATATAGAAATGCTCTATTAGTTTTAAACATGTTTGATAACATATCGGAGGGCATTATGTAGATTTCTTAAGAGATGAGGATATGGAAGGAGTGTTCATGCGGGATGAACAAATATAGTGACAACTCAGTAAAGCAAGAAGGTAAAAGGTTGAAATATTGTATTCTAGCTTATCAATACTTATGGTATGCGTTTCTAATTGTTAAATAATTTGAAGACCTTATAAGGGAAAATAAAATAAAAATATATATATATATGAGAAGTTGGAGCACCACCTCATCATATAATTCATAGGTACATATTGGGAATTTATTTAAATATTTCCTTTTTAAATTAAATTAAAACTCATCCAAATCATAGTTTTATTAAATTTTGAATGTAACTGTAAAAAGTTCATGACATACATAATTTACCTGCCCAATTCATAGGGTTAATGTTTTTTTTTATTTTTTATTCTTATGTGTACTTTAAATATTTTATACTCATAGAAATTAGAGTAGTGTTAAAATTTTTGTAATTTTGCTGTTGACTTTGAAGAGATGTTAAACAAATATTATATAGTTGTTTTCTCAAAATCTTAAAAAAAAATCATTAAACATAAGACAGTTAAGTAATGCATATTTTAGTCAGATTTTCTATGAGTAATGAATCAAAAAACAATTTGTAGAGGGAAGAAAAATTCATGGACATAGGAAAGTTTTAATATCCTTTTTTTCCCCAATTTTTTGTTTTCATCTTTGTATTACTTTGCTATTGCCCTTGCCAATAACTGAAAAAATACCATGTATGTTGGTACAGATTTTGAATCTATTTGCATGTTTTTGTAGTCAGCCTTCATATTTGTTTTAAAGTGAATAAAATGGTGGAACAGGAGTGCCTAAGGGGTGGAGGAGGTAACAATAAAATATTTGTTTCTATTATTTTTCTTGTCTTCCCATAATTTAATTTAAAATGTAATACACTGGCCTTATTTGGTACTGTATTTTGACAATTATACCCAGTATTTCCTACAGATATTCCTATATTTTCAAACCCCAGTTCCTATATTTCCTATATGGATGCACTGAAATGCTGTTCTTGATAACATTCTTAAACTGCTTGGACTTTCATTCTATCTAATCGGCAGCTTATATGTTGAATCTGAAGTACAATGGTGTATAGACTTGAAAGATGATGATTGGACTGAAGACATGAACTGATCATTTAGGTAGCTGAGCACATCCCCAATGTAGATCATAACATATGGACAGCAAGGGACCATTTGTTCCTTTAAATAAATCCTTTCATATACATCCTTACAAAGGTAATAAATTAAATCCACCCTTTATGTTTCAGGAAATCATCAACTCACCCTATAAATTCTTGAAAAATGCTGGTGGACGATATTCTCTAAAATAATTTTTGAGATAATTACATCTTTAACATTTTAATTTTCCCTTTGCTCAATGTGAAAACACTGGAGCTTTTGAGGTTCAATTGTTTTTGTTTTTTTTTACTCTTTTTATTTATGCTCTGACATATTTTCTTTTATCACAAAATGACATTTTCATTAGAAATATTTGCACACTGGATTTCCTACTGTGAGATTTGTACAACTGTTTTGGTACATCTTGCTTCCAAAATGGCCTTTCTTCTTCTCACACAAAAGCTATATTGATTGTTGTATGCCATCTAAGCATTGCTAAAATAATTTTTAGTAATTGGCACACAAGTCTTTATACCCCATCAGTTGCATGCCATTTCTGAACCTGTATGTATCATGGACTACTCTCCACCAGTGATATTGCACCACCTATAATGGCACAGCTAGCTCCATCTGCTATTTCTCTCAATCCTCACTTTCTTGATTAGCATGACACAGTTTTAGATGCAGGGAGTTAGTTTTATCTTCAGCTGGTGTTTTCTTCTTCTTTTCAACATGACAATGTGTCTGAGGGATAAGACACACATATTGAGTTGCCACTTTAGTCTCTTTTTTTCAGGCACCTTCCCCCAAATGCCATGTCTTTCAATTGGGGGGAGACTTCTCCTTCTTTCTTTACATGTTCGTTTTTATTACATACTTTGTGGAATGGGTACATTTAGATAGTTTGTTCATTTCTTATATAAGTTGGGTGGGATTGGTTAGTTTGTACTTCCATATTTTTACTACTAGTAACAAATAATTCTATATCTTTGAATGATTTTTTCATCATTGTTAACTATGTACCTTCTTCTCCTAATTTGAGTAAGTGTAAGTCTTAATTCCGTGTCCTTGTCATCTTAGGTTACTTTCTTTGTGTAGTACCTTAGATATTGCTTATTATTGTGTTTTTCTTGATAATTTCTGACAGTTGGCATGTTCGTTACATTTTTTGTGGACTTGAATAATTTTGATACTTTTTCCATTTGATGTTTGTCAGTTCATTTACTGGGTATGTTTCAATAGGTGGTATGTTGCATATCATTACCCCTAGTGATATCTATTCATTGTTCTATCTGAATTTTTTCAAGATTGTT